TTCTGGTCGATAGATACCTCCGAAAAAGACTCAATCGACCCACTGTGGGAATACTCCTTCTGAACACGAGGATCTATGTAATCTTTCACTGGATCTGACTATGGCTTGATCCTGCTGATCACCATTGCCTACTCAGGAATGCCCACCGGCTTCTTTTTCCCTTGGCATGACATCTGCACTACCCTTACATAGCAGTTGCGAGATTCGCTCTAAGACCCTTTCATTTCCCCAAACCCCGTCGGAGTAGGAAACTTCATCTTCAAATGATAAATGGAGGTGACGTCCTGGAAACTTCGTAGTAGAGGTCATCCCAAAATGACATTAAAAGTAGACGGACAGTCTACCACTAAGAATTCTGTCATCTTAGTCACTTCATTGGTCTCACCCAAAATGACGGGAAGCGCGGTTGTTCCCTTGGGGACTAGATGATCCCTAGTAAAACCATAGAGAGGGATAGAGACAGGCTTCAGATCTGCCTCATCCAACCGCATCTCCTCAAAAGCTCGCTGAAATAAGATGTTCACAATGCTACCATTGTCCACCAACATCCTGTGGACTTTGCACCGACCTATTTTAGGCACGATGATGAGTGCATCCTCATAGGGATAATGCAATCGCACCGCGTCTTTCTCTGAGAAGGTAGTCTCTTCTTCTTTGCGAACCTTAGCAGGTCGCGACGCTGTTAATGAGAATCCTAGCCCATCATGCCCATCACAAATGCTAGGGATTTCAATGAAGACTCAAGGAAAACATGAAGATCCACATTCGACCCAAGCATCCCAAACACTCAAGGAAGTTCACAAAATTGTCCAAGAGGTCTTAAGGTTCCAAGGCACGGCTCAAGCCCAATTTTGTGACCTAAAACGTGAACAAGAAGTGGGAGCAAGTTTCATTTGCCCAAGCCCAAGTTTTGGGTGTCATTTGATTCAAATTTTGGAGGAAAACCCTAAAATTTTTGTTAAGGACATAGGTCCTTAAATTAGGGAAAAGTTGTCCACTTGATCATTAAATGGTTATGGCTTGTTTTTGACATGTGTGGTGGACTTTTGTTTATTAATTTGAATGTAATATTTTAATGTTTCCATCATGTAATATTTGCTAGGGTAAATCCCTAATTTTTGTAAAGCCTATTTAAAGGCCACTTGATCATTTTGTAAAGGGACTTTGAATATTGAATGAATAGTGCTTTGTCTTGAGAATTGTTTTCTCTTGTTTTCCTTTACCCAAGTTCGGCCAAACTTGGTGGTGGAGTGTTTATCAAGCTGGTGGAGTTTCCTTTAGGATTGATTAATTCCTTGGTCATCTCTTATGTAAATTGTTCTCCTTTAGTTTCAAGTTAACTCATTTTCCGGATTTTGTTTTGCATGGTGTGTATGAATCCATTTGTGGTGCATTTGAACGCAAATGACTTTGTGAATGACTGGAGTTTGATATAAGGAGTTGTTTTAAGTCATTTAATGGTTGTGATTGTGTATGGAGTGTGATAGCTGAATGGTCACAAGGAGTTGGAAGAAAACCTAGCCTAGGTTGAGTCAAAAGTGGTTGTTTTGGGGTAGTATATGAATTGAGGTTGAAGAAATTCATATCAGCTGTGCTTATCACACTCACAGGGTCATGACGAGTTTCCCAAGTGTACCTTTCCTAGGCACCTCGAGAATTCCCCGTGAGGTGCGATCCTCCAAAGATGATCCCCACGAAGTAGAGACCCTTACGACCAATGCGTTTTTTCCCTTGTTCCTCTTGATCCTTCTCCTGAACGGGAGTCAGACCATCAACATATTCCTTGAAGTGCCCCTACTCGATGAGGTCTTCAACTGCTTGCTTGAGAGCCCAGCACTCATCAGTGTGGTGCCTATTATCCGGATGATAATGATAATATTTCTTGCTGTTTCTTTGTGAAGGGGGATTGTTCATGGGTGTCGGCTCTCCGAGCAGGCTGGTCTCTTCTGACTTGTCCAGAATAGCCGATACTGATGCATTCAGAAGGGTATACTAATTCTTGTCGCAATCGCGATAAGGAACCTCGGCATAAGATTTCTCGGGCTCAAACTGCTGCTTTTTTCCCTTCTGTTGATCGTCATTAGCCCACATGTGATCAGCTCTTCTACTACCCTCCCCTTGGTTAGGAGCACTGGTCGAAAAACTGGGGTCGTGGTGATTGAGAGCGGCCATAGAATTCTCTATTCAGAGGTACTTCTTCGTAAGGTCGTAGAAGCGAGTGAGGGAAATGTCATCCTCAGATTGTAGCTTCTTTCATAGGTCGGTTTGCGGGCGAACTCCCGCAATAAGGAGAGTCCGAACAAATTCTTCAGGTGTGTTAACCACCTTGTGCAGCTCCCTGTGGAACCTGTCAATGTAGGACTGGAGGGATTCATTCTTTTCCTTTCGTATGTTGCTCAGATAGCTTAACGGCATTGAGAACTTCCTATTCACCTGGAAGTGTCACAAGAATAACGAGCTCATCTACTGCCATGAGTTAATAAATCCTGGCAGAAGTGATCTAAACTAGCGCTTGGTGTGGGTAATTAGGGTCACTACCAAACAACAACATTTGGCCAAGTTGTAAACTTGGTGAAGCTCCATAAGGTCATTAAACTCATAGAGGTAATCCTGCGGATTAGAATTCCCATCGAATGCTTGCATATTTGGCATTCTAAACCTCAACGGAAGAAGGGCAGCTGACACTACCGGAGAAAAGGGAGACACCTCAGCGACCTAACCATGCTCATTTTGCTAAGCTCTAAGCTGATCCAGAGCTTGTTGTAACTCCTCAATTCGAGATAGCACAACTACCTAGAGATTAATTTTTGCAACGTTGGTTCGACCCTCACAATTACAGTTAAGGAAAGACCACTGATCGAACTCTTCCTCACCTTGGCCGGATGCTCTGGCATATCTTGACACATGTTGACTGGAGTCGTGTGAAGGCAATGAAAGGTTCGGGGAGTTAGCCCGACCTTTGCAGTGGTCTAAACCGGCCCGTGGTTGCTGGGGGTTTCCCTACCTTGCACTCTTGTGGGGGCGCCCATGTGATGTGGCGTGGGACAGTTCATGATGTGACATGTCGGCAAGTCGCAAAGCCACAGATATTCTACCTATTTCGCGATCGGTATTTGTTGGTCCCTTGGAGCCCTTCGGCCTATTATCTGCCACCTATTTTCCCTTGCCTTTACGCGCTGTAGTGCGAGCGACATGGGACTTCCTCGTTTTCACGCTTTAACGTGACCTACAGGCGTTTGTGGCGGTGGCACCGCCTTGTCAAACTCAGGTGGTACAACCTAGTCCAAACGGTCTAACCTTCGGTTAACCATTTGGATAGTATTATTAAACTTTTCCAGGTAATCCATCACAGCTGAGTCAAGCTGTGAGCTCGAAGGAATGTCCGCTGTAGTACTATGTTGAATTAAGGGCACTTCGAGAAAAGTGTCATCCTGTACCCAAGGGACCTCCTCATTGCTAAGGCTAGCTCACTTGGTTTCAAAACCATGAGTCATTTACTAGTGAATAGACTCGATTGATCAGAGATTTCTAATGAACAGTGGATACTAAATCAGGGCCTTCCTTTTAACGCAAAACTATTGATGCTCGATTTTGGACACCAACTATTCGCATGTGCAAAGTGCTAAGCAGACTTAGAAATTGCACGTGAATGGGAAAATGAAACAAATAAAAGGGAGATGATTTTTAAAGTGGTTTGGATGCTCAAAGCGAATCCTACGTCCACTGCCTTTTTATTTATGAAAGATTACAATCAGGTCGTATGTAGCGATCAGAGAGAATAGAGATACAAAAAAGGAGAGAGAGAGTTTATATTATCAGGATTAGAATCCTGAAAAATGAGAGGGGAGCTCTCTATTTATAGTAAGAGGTTTCTGGATAATGATTACAAGTCTGCCAGCGGACATGTGTCGTACAGTTCTTACCTTGCTTCCCATTGGCCAGTTGCACAGAAAATATCCTTAAATCGCATAAAGCTTTGGGCAAGTGGGTGACTCCCAGCCACTCACTCGCCAAGCCTTTACCTGCCAAGCTGATGACAGCCTTACTTCTGCTATCCTTGGACAATGTGGCAGCGCCTGGACGGCACAATGTCTTCCTGAATTTTGATTGGTCCTCGCTGACGTACGCTTGGGAAGGGATATCAACATTTATGCATCAAACACCACAATAAACTTCAACAGATTACATCAAAACAAAAAATAAAACTTTTAGAAAAAAAAATAATGGAATCATAAAACTACTGGGAAGGGACAAATGAAAGCCTGAACAAATTTCAAAATATGAATCAAAAGACCAACTTGTCACTAGAAGTCGCCAAAAACCTCACCGTTCATCGAAAAAAGTCCTTGTCAACAACCCTTAATCCCTATCGTTAACACTGTACACGAACCCAAAACCCTAAACTCGCAAACTGCCACTCCATTGCCAGTTTACCTCACCGTTAACACTCATCGGTTGCCGTAAATAGTCACCAGGAGGCAGTCGAAGACGTCAACCCAAAACACAAGAGTCTTCGCTTCAAGAACACGCAAAAGTCAAATGACTATTGCATTTTTTTTCTCCTTTGCATTCAAATGTCAACTCTAATGGACACGTGTCAATGCCGAAGCCCTACACTTCAATTTCAAATTTTAATTTTAGATTTAAATTATTAATCAACAATAGTGCCCTTACTTTTAAGTGTCTTTTGACCACTATGCCCTTATACATCATGAAAACTACTAACGCACTTGACGATTGGGTGGGAAAATGGTATTTTGAAACTTTTTGGGTGGGGAAGGGTCATTAAGGCAAATCTTGGGTGGGAAAAAGTGTTTATTCCAAATTTAATATTCTATCAACGCCTAAAAAAAGGGTGTTACTTTTTTTAGGATATTATCCCAGAATGAATTGAGCTGGGTTTTGGATGATGGTCCTTCTCTCTAGAGTAAGGTGTGTCTCTCTGTTCTGACAGAGAGTTTTATCTTTTAGTCATTTAGTGGTTTCTGTGGAACGCATGCATGGCTGACTCTACGTTAACGTCGTTATGGGAAAGCTTTTCCTTAACTGAAGAAGAAGAAAATGACGTCGTTGTTTCCAACAAGACGATCGAAGATGTGGCCGCCAAAGTTAAACACTGCCTTCTGGCTCTCCTTATCACGGAGAAAAATTTCAGCAAAGAAGCATTTCGATCCACAATGTCTCAAGTTTGGAAACTGGAAGGCTGGATCCACTTTACAGATGCTGGTGAGAAACTATTTTTGCTAGAATTTCAAAACGTCACTGATCTGCAGAAAGTCCTCAACGGTCGACCGTGGTCCTTCGATAGGGCTTTGATAGCTATTCAACGAGTCGATAGTAGCACTCCTTCTAATGCTAGCTGTTTCACACATGAACCTTTCTGGGTTCAACTTCATAATATGCCTTTTGCTGCCATGAATGATGATTATGGAGTCCAACTAGCGTCTGCAATTGGCAAAGTTCTTGAAGTGGATGTTGGTGCGAATGGTTTGGGCTGGAGAAGCTTTCTGAGGGTCAAAGTAGAGGTTGAACTTACCAAACCTTTGGTTCGGGGGAGATTATTAAGGATTGGGGAGCAAAAATACTGGATTGCTTTCAAGTATGAACGATTACAGAATTTTTGTTTTAAATGTGGAGTTCTTAAACACAAGAATAGAGGTTGCTCTTCCATTAGACAGACTGAAGAATCCAGTAATCAATTCGAGCCTTGGTTGTGAGCCAGTTCACCAAAGTTCTACTCTAAAGAATCCAAACGCTATGGTGGCTCAACAGATCGAAACACACAGCATTGTCTTTCACCTTCCATGGCTGCTGCTGGTGAAACAAGGGGCACAGACGTAAACTCAGATCAGACAGATTCGGAGGCTGATTTTCAGGGAAGAATAAAGGAAGGTAGTAAAAGCATGCAAACTGTCTCTATAACGGATACGTTACATGGTAGAGATGGCCTGTCAGGTCAACTTTCCAAAGAAGATGTGGAGAATATTTCATCCATGAATTCTTCATATATCTCTGCCAATAACGGATTAGCCCAAGATTCTCTCCCAGAATCAAATGCTTTAATTGAGGATGTTACGACACAAGACGGGAAACAAGCCCTTCCCCATTAGTTTGTGACAGTTACGCCCCAACTTCCTAAAGTCTCCTCCCAGGCTTTACATCAAGGTGGGTCTAAGAGATCCACTTGGAAACGGAAAGCTAGAGGCACTAATCATATCAGTGTGAAGGAAGGTATTACTCAGGAAAAAGAACGAATTTTTCGATTATCAGTAGAAGGTTCTACTGAGAAACAAAGTTCCAAGAAACAGAAAGTTTCAGATGAATCTGATACTACTCTCTTCATGGTGGAGGCTGCTTCGCAGCCCCACCACTCCCAATGATTTGCCTTAGCTGGAACTGCCGTGGGCTTGGGAACCCACGACAGTTCGTGAACTTCATCACTGGGTGAAGACTAAGTGTCCCGATTTTGTTTTCCTTATGGAGACAAAGTGTAACAGGAATAAATTAGAGATCATAAGAAACATGATTGGATTTTCATGCAGCTTTGTTGTTGACAGTAGAGGGGCTAGTGGTGGCATTGCAATGTTATGGAAGGATGACAAGGAAGTGGACTTGGTGTCCTATACTCAACATCACATCTCTTTTATCGTTAATCAATCAACTGCAAACCAGAAATTCATCTTAACTGGTTTTTACGGACATCTGGAGGTGTCTAAAAGATCAGGTAGCTGGAACTTGTTAAGAGAACTTAAAGCTCAAACGAATATGGCATGGCTGTGTGTAGGTGACTTCAATGAAATTTGCCACCAATATGAGAAGTTCGGAGCTGCAGATAGACCATATAGGCAGATGGAAAATTTTCGGGAAGCACTTATTGATTGTGATCTCAGTGAAATCCCTTTCAATGGAGATTTCTTCACCTAGAATAATGGCAGAGAGGGCTGGTATTTCACAAAGGAAAAACTAGATAAAGGCTATGGAAACAAGGCGTGGTTTGATTTGTTCTCAGATTGCATTGTGAATTCTTTAGGTGTTACTTCTTCCGATCATAAACTAATTCTCATCCAAATCAAAGGAGAACTTGAGACTAAAATTAGGAAGCATAGGCCTTTCCGATATGAAGCTGCGTGGGATAATAGAGTCGAATGTGGGGAGCTGATCCAAAAAGAATGGCTTTGTAATTTAAATCCCAACTCTAGTCTGCCAGTTGTTATGGAAGGACTCCAAAGGTGCAAAGAAAAGCTGTCCACCTGGAGCAAAAGTACTTTTCGAAGCAAGAGGAATATTGTGACAGACAAGTTATCTCAGCTGAAGCATCTGGAAGCCTCAAACAGAGGTGACAAGAAGGGAGAACTGCAGCAGCTTAAACAAGAAATAGATGGACTTCTGGAAGAAGATGATATCAAATGGAAGCAAAGAGCTAAACAACAATGGCTAAAAGATGGGGATCGTAATACAAAATTCTTTCACTTATGTGCTAACCAACGCAGGAAATCTAATGTTATCAAGCAAATCTCAAATGATGATGGCAGGTTGGCAAATAAACCGGAAGAGGTTAGCAACCTTTTTCAAGTTTCTTTCAAGCATTATTTTCTTCGTCAATGCCCGAGAGAATAGAGGACTGCATCCACGTGATTAAGTCGTCATAACTCCAGAAATGAACAGTGATCTGGTCAAGCAAATTTCTAATGAAGAAGTTGAAAAAGCGTTTTCACTATGAACGGGCTAGGATCTCAGGACCTGATGGATTTCCTGCCATCTTCTATCAGAAACATTGCAGACCATTGGACCTAGCGTGTGGTTGCTGTGAGAGAAGCCTTTTGTTCAGGGAGCTGGCCTCAGGAATTAATGCCACCCTTATCGCTTTAATACCCAAAGTTAAAACACTTCCAAAGTGTCAGAGTTCAGACCAATTTCCTTTGCAACGTCCTTTATAAATTCTGGCAAAGGTCTGCCAACAGACTGCAAAAACAATTGCCACAGATTATTCTCCATCACAAAGTGCGTTCGTTCCAGACCGGTTGATTACTGACAATGCATTAGGGGCATTTGAGTCATGCATACTATGAATACCAGTCTAAAAGGAAAAGATGGTTACATGGCGCTGAAGCTTGACATGAGCAAGGCTATGACAGACTTGAGTGGTCTTTCCTGCAAGCTGTCATGCGTAAGATGGGTTTTTGTTCAACCTGGATCAACGCATCATGAACTGTCCTTTTTCAGTTTCTTATTCGGTTCTCATCAACGGGATTCCTCAAAAACCATTCAAACCTTCTCGCAGGATCAGACAGGTGATCCTTTGTCACTATCTATTCATTATTGGAGCTGAAGCCTTAGTAGACTCATCCAGGATGCTGAAGACGAGGAGATATCAAAGGGGTTCCATGGAGCCTTCCAGAATGCGCATTAGCCACCTCTTTATGTTATGACTGTCTTCTCTTCTGTAAGGCAAATCAGTATGAATGGAATAGGTTGTTTAAGCTTCTAGACACCTATGAAAAGAACTCCAGGCAAAGACTCAACAAGGAAAAAACTTCGATATTTTTTAGCAAAAATACTAGAGTGATGTCAAGCAACAAATTATTAGTGGCTGGGGTTAAATCCTCTCTCTTATGACAGATATCTGGACTTCCAACGTTGATTGGGAGGGACAGAACAAGAGGTTTCAAGCACATCCTGGAACGTGTACGAGGCAAACTTAGTAACTGGAAGATGAAATATCTTTCACAAGCTGGGAAAGAAACACTACTTAGGCTGTTATCCAAGCTCTCCCAACATACAGCATGGGTGTTTTCAAAATCCCAAAAACCCTCCTACAAGAGTGAACCGATTGATTAAAAGTTACTGGTGGGGACAAAAGAATGACGAAAAAAGAATTCACTAGTGTTCATGGATAAAATGAAGCTATCAAAAAATGATGGGGGGCTAGGATTCAGAGACTTAGAACTCTTCAACTGGCTGCTTGCAAACAGGGATGGAGACTTCTTCATTATCTATTCACTTGCAGCGAAAGTTCTATCTACCAAATACTATCCTGACGGTAATTTTTTAGAAGCAAAGGTTAAAAGGTCATCATACTTTATTTAGAGAAGTGTAATGGCAGCAAGGTCTGTTTTGGAATCTGGCTTGATGTGGCACATTGGTGATGGGTCCAAGGTCAGGATTTGGCAAGACAAATGGCTTCCTTCCGCATCTTCTTTAAGATTCAAAGCCAATGCCTTGGTTGGACCCAGAGGCTAAGGTGGTTACTCTCATTGACCCAAACAAAGTCCTGGAAGTTGGACCTACTCAAAGATTTGTTCTCTGAATTAGAAGTTAACATCATCTGTCGTATTCCATTAGTATCTTCAACAGACCAGATAAAATTGTTTGGAGATGCTCTCAAAATGGTCTCTTCTCAGTAAAGGTGCATATCACTACAAGTGGAGTCCCAATCTATCCCGAGGCCAACTCTTCTGCAACTACTGATAATCAAAATTGGAAGAAGCTATGGAAGCTTCCCATTACTAATGCCGAGAAATATTTTGTGGAAGGCTTGCCAAGCAATTCTCCAACCAAGTGTAACCTTGTTAGAAAAGGGTGATTGAGGAACCTTTTTGCACCTTCTGTTGCTTAGAAGAAGAAGATGTCTTGCATGCTTTATGGGGCTGCGTGGCTGCCAAGGATATTGGTCAAGCTGTTCCCTAACTTTCAAAAGATGAACAACAATTTCACCAACTTCAAAGAGCTCGTTATGGTTTTGCTGGCCAAACTTGAGGAAAAGTATTTAGCTGAATTTGGGGTGGTGGTCTCAAAATTGGCAAAGGAGGAACGAGTTTACTTTCAAACATATTATCTACTCCATCCCAGCTCATTCACCATGCAACTAAGAACTGGACATATTAAATTCCTTGATTCAATCGAAGACCTCTCCAAATGACCTTTGAACTCGAATCCAGTTCACCAAGATGGCAGCCACCACTGAAGGTATCTTCAAAGTTAACTGGATGCAAGTGTGGAGAAAAGAAAATGGCAAAATTGGGGTTGGAATTGCAATTCGGGACTGGCAAGGCATATTTCTGGCGACTATGAGAATGAAAAAAACCATGCTGCCAGATGCACACGTGGCTGAATCTTTCGCAGCTCTTCAAGCAGTCATTCTAGCAGCAGATTTGGGATCAACCAATAATCTTGGAAGGGGACGCTTTCAAGTAGTCAATGATTCTTAGGGATGAAGAGAATTTGGGCCAAGCTAGTCTTATTTCTATGGACATAAGGTGCTTTCCAGGAATTTTCTCACTTTTTCGGTTCATCCTGTTAAAAGAGCAACCAATGTGATTGCTCATACTTTAGCTAACAATGCTTTAACCATTGATGATGTACTGGTTGAGCTTGAAGAAGTTCCAAATTGGATTGGATCCTAGTCGATCCTCTTGAATGCATTTAACTGATTTGATTTCAAAAAAAATATATATAATATTATCCCGTCAACTGGATGCAAAATTATGTTCTAAATATATACTATAACATAAGATAATTGTTTTAATATTCTATTTATCAACACGAAACTTATATATCTTTTTTTTTTTTTAACAAAACATAAAAGATATTTTGGCTAGGAAAAATAGATGTATTTTTTATTTAAAATAATTTGAAGGACAATGAATTGAAAAAATATTAATAGTGCAGTTTTATGTATTTTAAAATTACTGAAACCACATCCCACCTTTTTTTTCCT